TGAACCCTAAACCTCAAACCCAAAACCCAAAACCCAAAACCCAAAACCCTAAAGCTTGAACCCTAATCCTTAAACCCTAAACCCTAAACCCTGAACCCCGAAAGCCTGAACCCTAAACCCTAAACCCTAAAACCCCTGAACCCAATTCCCAAAGCCCTAAACCCAAAGCCCAAAGCCCACGGCCTGAAATTTCGCAGGTGGTCACTGTGCGATCGAGGAGTCCTCCGGAGCGGCTTCCATTTCAGCATAAGGCCTAGAGGACCGCACAGTTTGGGTTTAGGGTTTAGGGTTTAGCGGTTAGGGTTTGGGGTTTAGGGTTTAGGGTTTAGGGCTTAGGGCTTTGGGTTTAGGGGTTTCGCGTTTAGGGGTTAGGGTTTAGGGGTTTAGGGTTCAGGGTCTAGGGTTAGAGATCAGACCGCACAGTTTGCTCAGGAATCCCTAAACCCTACTATAGAGGCCTCAATAATTCGAACAAGGTCTTGGGCTCCTTTGGAGTAAAAGTATCATAAGGAACCGCCAAAACAATATTGGTACTTATTTAGGCTTCTATATTAAACCTTAAACCCTCTTCCTTGGCAAACTCCGTCGATCTGCTGCTCCGTGTATGGGTCGGGCTGTCCGCCGGCCTCACTGGGCATCGGAAAGAGCTGGGTTTAGGGTTTAGGGTTTAGGTGCCATTCTGCAAGCACCACGCTGTGACCTGTGGACATAGTAAACAAAGTTGAACTGCAGACTACTGCCTGGTGCTTAGTAGGGAATGGGGGACTGGATCCCTATGATAGTCCCCTGAGGTCCCTTATAGTAGTCCCTATAACCCACGGTTTAGGGTTTAGGGCTTAGCGTTTGGGGTTTAGGGTTTAGGGTTTAGGGTTTAGGGTTTAGGGTTTAGGGCCCATTCCCCCATTCCCTACTAAGCACCAGACAGACTCGGAATGACTAGGAGCCCAACTTCAAGAGCAGTCGGAAGCCTGGAACTCCCACGACTTGCCGGGTTTAGGGTTTAGGGTTTAGGGTTTAGAGTTTAGGGCTTAGGGTTTAGGCTTTAGGCTTCTGAGCCCTGGGCAAAGGTCGTCTTGTAGAGCTCCACTTTCCACGTGATAAACTGCGAATCCTGGCCGTCTGCTGCCGGAACCGAAGCAAAGAAGGAGACTTTGGTTCGGCGGAGAGACCATCACAGCCAGAGGTTCCTCTTGGTAGTTTTACCTCGCTTATAGGGTTTAGGGTTTAGGGTTTAGGGTTTGGGGTTTAGGGTTTGGGGTTTAGGGTTTAGGGTTTAGGGTTTAGGGTTTAGGGTCCCGGAGAGGTATCCTGAACTGAATGGCTTGATGAAGCAGATAGAGGATCCGCAGGGTTCCGATGACCGCAAGAAAGAGCTACGCGCCAAGAGGGTTGGAGCTGCAGCATGTCCGCTTCTGGGCTACACATGCTCCAAAGGAGTCCCCGTTTATATCCCAACCGAATCGCAGGATGCTCAATTTTGAATAGCCTAAACCCTAAACCCTAAACCAGGGCACTAGACTATCCTCAGTTTTGAATAGCCCACTGCAGGCTCGCAGGCAGGCCTCCTGCGATCCAGCTGTCCAGCTCATGTCCAACCTCTGCACTCCGGGAGCTTCCGCAGTTACGCGCTCTAGGGGTTTAGGGTTTGGGGGGATAAGGGTTTAGGGTTTAGGGCTTAGGGGTTTAGGGTTTAGGGGCCTTGCTTAGGAGGCTACTGACATGGCTACCCTCAATAGATCTCACTCATACTTTTGGTGCAGACAGACGATTCTCATCTTCAACCTGTCTGCTACTGCTGCTATACGACCGACCACATTTCCAACTTAAGAACGAAACAAGCGTGATGCTGATGATTGTCATGACCATGATGAAGAGGACGACGCATGTAATGGCCTACGAATACTACCACTCACTGCGATGCCGGCGAGCGCCATAAGAATAAGATGAGGACAGCCAGGAGAAAAGCAAGGCTAGCAGCAGATTCCGGGCTAACGGACACCAGACAAACGCTCGCAACTAAGCTTGCTGCTGTCCATCGGCTGGCGAAGTGGCGGCCTGGGCAGCGCGCTCTTCACCAGCGGCTTCGTCACCCTAAACCCTATACCCTAAACTCTAATTTACTAAACCCTAAATCCTAGAAACCCTAAACCCTAAACCCCTAAACCCCTAAACCCCTAAACCCCTACACCCCTAAACCCTCAACCCACAAACGCTAGGAGTTTGGAGTCGCAGGCTCAGCCCCCGGCCAGGCTGGACGGCAGGGTGGCAGCTTGCAGGCAGTTCGGCCCAATGGTGACCTTGCTACAGCCAGCTAGGGCAGCTAGGGTTTAGGGTTTAGGGTTTAGGGGTTGGGGTTTAGGGTTTAGGGTTTAGGGTTTAGGGTTTAGGGCTTAGCGTTTAGGCTTTAGG